ACTTTGCTCTTGCAGTGAGTCACTGCCTGGATTTCCTGACACATGCACAGAGTTGTTGATGAAGTGAGTTTGCACACTATATGCATTCTTGGCAACCCTGTTGGCAGGTTTCAGATTGTTTCTGGCTGCTCTCTAAACTTCTGTGTTACTAGATCTGAGGGCTGCATTATATGCATTAAGCAGAGGGTGGACTTCACTGTTCATCCAGAATCTGTAAGGGTTCAGCCGGCCCCGCCTGCTGCCGGCAGAGGGCGACGGCGGCGGGGTGTCCAGCCTGCGCCGCCTGCTGCCAGCAGAGGGCGACGGCGGCAGGGTGTCCAGCCTGCGCCGCCTGCTGCCAGCAGAGGGCGACGGCAGCAGGGTGTCCGGTCTGTGCCGCCAGCTGCCAGCAGAGGGCGACCGCGGCACAGGGCCATAACTTCAGGGAACTCCAATTCCCAGAAGTCCGCGGGCTGATTAGGCCCAACGCGACACACCTGCGGACTCCTCTACTTAAGGTCAAGGCAAACAGTGGTGTTTGTCACACCTTTGTAGAGGGGTGACCGGTACGGTACTTAGTGTCAGAAAAGAAAAGCAAAGAAAAGAAACTGTCCCAAATCTAAAAAAGAAAAAGAAAAGAGGGCTGAGAGAAGAAACTGCCCCAAAACTAAAAAAGAAAAAGAAAAGAGGGCTGAGAGAAGAAACTGTCCCAAAGCGGCTTAAAGCCATTAAATAAATAATAAATAAATAAAAAAAAGGAAAAGAAGAGGTCTGCCTTCCCTTCGTTTTTGGAGTGGAAGTGTTTTTTGTTTTTCCTATTATCTGTCCTCTCGCCTCTCTAGTTCAGCCTTTGTTTGAGCACGCTGCTCTCAGCGTCTCTTTTGTTTGCCGTTCGTTATTTTCCCGCCTTTTCTTTTCCCCCTTCCTTGAGGTGTTATTGCCAGTAGTTACCTGTGCTCCTCAGTGGCGCAGTGGCAACGCCATGAAGTGCTGATCAATACATTGCCGGTTCGAACCTGGCTTTGGGTCACCTCATGTGCATGTTTTGGATTCACAACCCAGTATCACAAACAACTCATTTTTTCCATTTTCTGTTTCCATTTCTGCACTTGGGTCCGCCTCCCTGCCGTCCCGTAACAGAATCAAGAACTCCAGGTCAGGTAAGCAGAATTGTTCAGTAGTGCCTGCATTGCAGCACCAGGTATTGTTCTCAAACTCACAGCCTGTCACCAGTTGTTTTTAGGAAATAAGCTGTTCAGTCTGATTAGAATGCTGTTAGCCCTTTTGGCAGAATTGCAGAGTCTGACATGCTGCAGTGGTGCCAGGTTTCCAAAAATGTGAAAGTGTAGTCTATTTTACAAGGAGCAACATTTGGTAGTAGTAAGCTGGGCCTTCTGGTCAGCTTGATCCAAGGAAAGACTACAATTGACTCAAGGCCTCCAGCTTGAACAGTTGGTACTGCAGTGGAATCCAGCTGTGTGGTTAAGTGGTAAAACTTTGCACTGGTTAACACTAGCTAATTCATTAAAATCTGTATTTAGTAGTTAGGGTGTAGTTTGCTTATGCTAACAAATGGCTTTGAAAAAACTTCCTGGTCATGAAAACTCAGAAATGTCTGATCAACACCCATCACTTTATTAGCTGTTTTCATTATATTAATAAAGTCTTCATACAGGTAAAATACTTTAATATTAGCCATGAGAAGAAAAGAAATAATGGTTTTAATAATAAATAACACCAAAGCACATTTCCTGCTGTAGCAAAGACGATCACATGCATTCTGTAAGAGGAAACACCATTTTAATGAGCCTGAGTGTTTTTATTAACTGCAGCAGCTCGCAGTTAAACGTGTTAACCACATCTAGTCTAACATCTCAGTGCTGCCTCTGTTCTCTTTATTTATCATTGGGACATTGGCGATTAGCCTTGCTACAGAACGGTAAGATATTTGATTTAGTTTGGACATTTTTAGTAGTTTATGAGAGAGAATAAAGAATAGAATACACATATTTAAGTTTAGCATTTGTGTAAATTGCTGAAAATTGTTTACACCAACATCGTTCAAGTAAAACTCAAGACATATTAAAGAACTTCAGATTAACTTTCATCATTGTGTCAGCAAGAAAAGTTTTTTGTTTTTTTGTTTTTTTTTTCATTTAACTGTCATTACCTAAAATATTCTACAGGTTGCTGTGATGAGATCATTGAGAATGACTCCTCCTCTTCCTCTAATCTTTCTGCTCATGACTGTTGGTGAGTCAGTGTTTGTTGGGCTTTGTGGTTTCTCTCAGAATCAGCTCAGTGTTGTAGAGTAGCTGCTGGAGTTAGAGAGGAGAGAAGTGAAGCTGTAAGCTACAGTAACTCTGACTGTCTTATGGGCTCCAGACTCTGTAATCAGCTCATTCATACATCATATGTTTCAGGAGCTTTTGGAACAAAGTGGAGTGTGAAGTACAACCAACAGAAAATATGTGCTCTAAAAGGATCCACAGTGTTTATGAATGGAACTTATACTAGCCCAGAACATCTTACAGTGACTGAGACTTTTTGGGGTATAGATCCAGTTCAGGGTGTGGAGCCGACTGATCTGAGTAAAGACCCAGATTATTCAGGCAGAGTCGAGTATTTAACTGATGAACAGAAACACTTCTCCCTCAAACTGAGTGATGTAATGAAGAAGGATGAACATCAGTTCTGCTTCAGAATCATAACAAATGAAGAAAAAGAAAAATGGCAGGGATATCCTGGAGTTCAGCTCAGAGTTACAGGTGAGTTAATCATCCCATTGTCCAGCTATAAGACACAGCTCTGGTTTCAGAGTAATGTTTCTTATTCATGACTGCTCTGAATATTCATGTTGTCTTATCACTGATTTTATTGATCTGCTCTAATGATGTTCAGCTTCTATTCTGATTCACTCCTACATCATTTTATTTGTTCTTACACCTGATTCAGATGATTTATCTGCTTATTTTCTTTTAGACACTCCATGTCATCATGAAAAATATTAATCCTATAAAATCATAGGCTTATTGTTTAGCTGTTGATTTTAAGAGCAATCATTCAGTTACTAACACTGAGCAATTATTCAGTAAATATAATTAAATATCAAACAAAATATCATTATTGGAATAAAACCTTGTATCTCAGAAAGGATAAATTTACAGGAGAAGAGAAAATCTCAGTAATATCTAAAATAATTTAAAGCACATTTCTTTCTTTTTTTCAAATCTATTTCTGTTGCTCCTATTGATTGTAACATGAGTGCTCACAAATTTTACCAATCGTTTTGTTATTGATCAGCTCAATCAATGGTGTTTCTTTATGATCAATCTCATGTCTGGTAGAAGTGTGCGTAAATTTGAGTGTAATATTTGAACAGCATGATTTGGATTATTGTCAACAACATTATTAATTGTAGCACAACACTAAGAGCTGAAAAAAAGAGAATGCTAACAGTTTTGCATACAGCAATTCTGGGACTAAAGTGGACATACTTTTTTCTATTATTATTATTATTTAAGTATACAGCCATTTAAGAAAATCCTTTATCAATACATTCCATTTAAAAGTTTTTGCTTCATGTTAGTGATATAGCAAATAACTTCCTCCATAACATAGCTAATATAATACAGTAGAAGCCCATATACTGCAGTATTATCACTTAAGTAACCAGCAAACACTAAAGAAAAAAAATACTTTCCCAACTGAGAAAAGAACTATATTTTACTCTTTTTACATTTTATTCTTTGCAATTGTTCTAATTTTAACACTATAAAGATATTTAACCTTTGGCCAGTAGGGGGAGCGGTGGACCTGCTACTCAACCCTAAACTTCCTCTATGGTTCATGAGCTGCTGAACTTTATTGTTTTACTGGCTCATTATCAAAACTTATACAGAAATGTGACCATATTTTACATAAATTATGTATTTATAAGGGCAATTTAGGTTGTTCTCTGTTACCAATGATATGGAAGTAAGGTAATCACTTGCTTCTATGAACTGAAGCTGATTTATCAATTGCACTCAAATCACTGCTTTTTTTCATTGTCGTACAACAGTTTCCTGAATGAGAAGAAGAGAAGATCATACATCATTCAGTTTAGTTAAATCTGCACTCTTTTCTAATTTTGGAAAATAAGGTTCAACCACTTTACAGCTTTTCTTTCCTGATCTGATGTTTTTCTCATTGTCTTAGGGCTCCATGTAGAAACTCCTGAAGAAGTGACAGAGGGAGAAACAGCAGATCTAAACATGTGAAACAAACTGCAGTCTGACTGATCCAACATTCATCTGGTACAAAAATGGATGTCCTTTAACCACAAAGACCATCAAGAACAACCAGCTCCACCTGCAGACAGTCAGCAGTGAGGATGCAGGCAGTTATAGCTGTGCTGTAAGAGGATATCAACACCTCCACTCTGCTGCTTACAACCTCAGGGTTAGATGTGAGTCCTCTCATTTTTTTTTTTCCTAAAGTAAATCGAAGTAGGACTTGACAAATGTCTCCTAGCTTTCACAGCTTGATTAACTTTTTATTTTCTAATTTAATTGTAGCATTTGCATGTTTTAAGCAAAATATTAAATTATGTAATACATATTTCAGATTTAAACATAAGCAAATCTGGAAATACAAATCAACTAATCATTTTATTTTGCATAGATTCCCCAAAGAACATCTCAGTGTCCATCAGTCCATCTGGTGAAATAGTGAAGGGCAGTTCAGTGACTCTGACCTGCAGCAGTGATGCAAACCCACCTGTGAAGAACTACACCTGGTTCAAAGAAGGTGGAACCTCACCTGTAGGATCTGGACAGAATTACAGCATCATCAACATCACTGCTGACCACACTGGACTGTACTACTGTGAAGCTCAGAATGAACATGGAGCTCAGAATGGAACTGTGATGGTCGCTGTTAAGAGTAGGTGGTGAATAATAAGAGAAATGCTGTATTACTGTGTCCACATTTACCATAATGACAGAATGAAGTGATAGCAATGATTTTCTCTGCTGCAGGTCAGGGTTTTTCTGCAGTTTGGATTGCAGTGGGAGGAGGAACCTTTCTCCTTATTACTGTCTTAATCTGCATCTGCAGGTCCATAAATTTTAGCAAATATTTTCTCAGTGTAAATAAATGACTTCTTTGTTTATGCAGCAATACATTAACAAATACAAATTATTTTTCCCTTAGACTAATTAGAATATAGTAACTATTTTGTCCTGTTTTCACAGAATAAAGAAAAGAGCTGCTGGAACTGATCACAGTGAGACAAAACAGGTAAACTTGGTCATAATTAGTAAAGGTGCCCTCTTGTCCACTCAGAGAATGTTTCCAACAAGTACAGTAACAGTTGACTTTAAACTACTATTGAGCTCAGAAACTGCTAGAAACAAAAGCCAGTGCTGATACCTAGAAAGAAAACTACAGAATTAAGACACAGCATTAGTGCAGTTCAGTTCAGTACAGATACGGTGACCACAATCCAAATGACCACATATTGTGTTCATCAGTAGGTGACAGATCCACTTGCAGGCTATATTTGTTTATTATTTGAGAACCACAACCAAGAGGATTTAAATTTGGAACACTTCAAGAAAGCGTATGTCGTCAATTCCAATTCAGGCTAATTTGGGCTAATTTTCCTCATGCGTGAGCGCGTTTTCTTCTGCAGGGGTGTTTTTCCTTGCACAAGAGCAGTTTCCTCACCTGCTAATTTTTTTTTTAATTGAAAGTGTTTGTAAGATAATAGTCTTTTCTGCCACATTTTCAGTACATTAGACATTTAAACTGTTCTCCATGAATGCTTCACTCTCAGGATGATGTCCTCTACACCACCGTTACACACAGCAGATCCAGACCTGTACAGGCTGCTGCTTCTGCTGACTCTGGAGCTGCTGATGTTCTGTATGCTACAGTCAGGATTCAGAATGATGATGTGACCAGCACTGACCAGCAAAGGGAGCCCCAATATGCCAGTGTTACATTCCACCACCACACTGCTGCCACTGGGTGAGTTTCACAGACCTTTTTATATAAAGCTGCCCAGAGAACAAACGCTTAAGAAAAGAGGAATTTAAGGCTTAGACACAAGTGCTATTTCATGTAGGCACCTGTAGGGGTTTTACAATGTTACATAAGCACCAGTCTAACTTTCACTTGCTACGTTGTTCAAACCTGAAAGTAGGATAATTCAGGACTGTTTGATAAAATCTCTCTGAGTGTGGTGATCAACATCAGCTAAAGTAAAGAGAATTTAACAGAAATGCTGGTGAAATACATGTTGCCATTTACATATAATTAATATGGCAAACTTTAGACATGCATATTTTGTGCCCACAATATACCATTAGCCAAATTAGACAGTGCTCATGCCTTTAGTTTGCTTGGGGCTTTCATTCACCAATAACAAGTTTGTATTTACCTTGTTTTGAGGCTTCTTTTAGAAGAATCTGTTAATCTTATCATTGATAAAATATTGTATTGTAAATATTTAGTCTTTATTTACAACAAATGGATGATTTTTTTTTTTCTTTTAGCGAAGCCTTGATAATCATGAGAAAACACTGAACAAATGCTTTGTTCATCAGATGTGACTAAATTTAAATTAAAACAAACTTCACTTTACAATAAGGTGGCAGTTTATCTCAGTGCTCAGTTAAAGGGTTGAGCACAATACTATGATGCATATTACACAAATAAAGTGCTCTAGAAATGCTTAACTCCCTTTATCAGCCAGTTCTTATTGTTATTTTTTACAGCTCATTTTTTGATGAGGTTTGATAAGACGATAAAGATAGAAACCTAGAATGATGCACAAGATCTTGATACATTAAACACAAACAGAAAATGTTTATTTCATGTTAGTTATTGTTTAATATCAGCAGAGCTGAACTCAGCACTGTGACCAGTTTAACAGTGTTAGAAAAAGCATTTGGATTTTCAGTGAAATTTCAGAGGCAGACTTTTGTTTTAGGTGCAGCTGCTGTATCAGAAAAAGGTCTCTGGACTGTTTCTGCTGGATAAAAACTGTGTTTGTGTTGTTAAATAAATGTAGTGTAGTGGTGAACATGTTTATTAAAGATGGGAAAGAGTGAAGTTGTGGTTTGTTCTGATAAACTTATTTTTAAGTTCTGTTTTTTTGACATTAAAGGTTAAAGTTTCACATTCTTTGTTTGTAGGTCACCAACTCATAATGTGGAAGATCCCTCAGTGATTTACAGCACAGTAAGAAAAGATTAGATCTGCTGAGAACTGCTATACAGAGAGAGAGAGGGAGAGATGGGGGGGAGGGAGAGAGCGAGAGAGAGAGAGGGAGAGAGCGCATTGGCATTGATGGATTCTTCAAGTGTTGAGTATTTCTTTGTTGTTACTGTGCATGAAAATGAACAGTCAGTAGTGAAGATTTAAGTTTTACAGTGTAATATTTCATTTTTTTTTTACTTTTGTCTTTTTTACTTTGAGTAAACATAATTAATTTGATTAGATGTATTTGAGAACCAAATCTTTATTTTTCTCCAATTTATCATTTTATATTTCATCTGTGTGTCTTAAACATATGCAGTAAGCAATATTTTATCTAGTAATCTATTCATTATTATTCTTTATTAGATACTTTTTTGACAAATATATTTCTCTGGGGCTTTTTTTTTTGGAAAATTTCTAGATATGAACTCAGACTTTGTGTTTATTGGAAGTCTGACTTCATGGGATTTGAATGTTTGATCGATTTCTGTGAATAAAGTCTTCTTTATTAATGAAACTCTCATTTGTAGCAGTTCATTGATTTCCATTTTGTAAACAATATCAGATTAATTTAATCAGTTTACAATGTCTGAATTCATTATTAACCGTTGACAGCAGTTCATCGTGTTACACTGAGACCAGTGCGGGGAAGAAGGATGCTAGAGGCCGGCAGGACAGTTACAGCAAGCATTTTCCTTTAGTTTTCACACAAAACACAAAACAAAAACCATAAATGCACATACTGGACACTTTTCAGTGGGTTCTAACTAGATTTTCAGTGCTTTTCTTACCCACCAACTTTGCAGTCCTTTTTTCAGCTGCTGGTTGTCCCTCCCTCTGCTTTTCTTCTCTTTCTTGTCTGCTTCTTTTAAAATTACCCACTCTGCCAAAGCCCCCCACCCCCAGCATCAGTATCTCTTTAAGGGAAGCATGAGCAGCTGAGCTGAGAGAGAAAGAGGGAGCTCACTGCTCTGCCTCCCCATCACTGCCCACCTCCACACCTCTAAGATTTCTATAGATGTGATCTTTATTTTCTGTCATTACAAATCTCCACCTCTAGAGTGCAGCAACCAGTCAACCACTTCCTCCTAAATGTTGATTCTGAGTAGAAGATGATCTGAGGTCAGTTTCTGTTTCTGATCTAGTGGGTAAAGGTGGTTATTATAGAGCAGCTCAGTGATTTTGTTTCAAGCTAAACAATATTATACCAGATCTTTTATCAGAGCCTCATTTCAGTCAGCAGTTCTGCACTAAGATGCGTCACTGGAACTGAAGTCTGGACGACCTTATTGAATAATGAGAGTTTAAACTGCAGGTCAGTGAACAGGGGCAGAAGATTGAAGGTTAAATTCCCTCTCTGTGTTTGTTTATCTCTGCTTCTCTCTCTACATATGAGTCTGTAGATCATTAAAGAGTGTTAGAGCTCCCCCTACAGGACATTGAAGCGAAGATGCAGAGGATGCTTCACTGGTAACTTCTGTTAGTGTGGATACCTGTGGCTGCCCAACATCAACAAGCTCCATGCACAACAGCTCCCTGAAGTGCTTCTGGGTGAGGGGCTTCTGCTGCTTTGCCAGTGCCATCATCTTGAGGATGATGAAGCTGTTCACCATTGCAATATCAATAAAGTGGAGAAACAGCTTCATATACCAAAACCTTTTACATCACAGAAAACTACTTTATGAGAGCATCAGACAAGTCAACTCCCCCCATGTACTCCCTCACTGGCTCTGGCATGGCGATCTGTTGGACAGGCCAGGTGCCATTTTGTCTTCTGACCAGACTTTGCACAGATGGCCTGCTATAAGCTTTGTGGACAGCAGAGCACATTGTGACATCTCTTGTGTGTCTCCACTTTACAAACAGCAATGGGCCATCTCTGATCCATCACGTCACCACGGTTCACTTTTCTTGGCAGGGCATTGACTGTTGTTTTTCGAAAGCCTATCCTGGTCTCACTGATGGCCCCAAAATCCAATTCCATACAGGTGACAGAAGAGCAGCAAGCTGGTGTAAAAGTTGTCAACATACACCATGTGCCATGAGCCCAGAGAGGGCACATGGAGCAGATTTGAAGCTTAGGCCATTTCCTGATGGTTCCCTTGCCTTCCCCTCATAGCCAATAAAGTCATTTATGGGTCCCTCATGTGCAGGTATGCACTCATGGCTTCATATTGGTACCTGGCCATCACAGAAGCAGGAAATAGGAGGCTGTGCAAGTGGTCCTTCCTCCACAGGTCCCGGGCAGCTGAAGGTTTCACCAGTCCAAGACTGATGATTACACTGAGAAAACTAAGCATTTCACCAGGATTTACATCCATCAACTGCCTCTTTGTGCCCTCTGCGTTTCTCTGTGCTGCATATTTGTTAGTTTTGCTGCACAGGGTTCGGATCACCTCTTTACTGAAGAACAGCTGGAAGATAATAGAGGGGCTGTTGTCTGAAAATCCAGCTTAACTCCTGGGGTCCTCCTGGGGCAAAACTACAGTGGAGGAGGCTGCTTGTCCTCCTCCGAGGGGTCACACCATCTATCATGCATCTAACATTTTGCAGCATAACCAGCATTACATTTCATACATGTGTGCACTCAACAAGACTAATTTATCATATATGTAACATATTTGGCAAAATAAAGTGGTTCTGATTCTGATTTGAAAATAAATACAAATTACAAATCATCATGCTAAATAAGACTAAACATGTCATGCTAAATGTATAATAAATAGATATGCTATCTAGGCATGCTATATTTTACATGCATGGTAAGTGGCATTTGACAACTTGCTAAACCAAATTAGATTCATTGCTAATAGGCTAAACGATTATTGTGGGGTAAATATATTATAAATTAATATTACTATGCATTATCTCATACATAAACATTTCTATGTATGTAAACAACTTACATGTTGAGCATGGCATTCATGCTGGCAGCCATTGAACCATCACTCAAAGCTTCCAGCTCATCGTTCTAAACAACTCCTCGTGAACCTCAGCCAAAGTAAACCACCTCTTTGCCATGATGTCCAAAAGTATTCCAAAAAAAATACTTAAATGTTTAAATCAACCACAACAAACAGAGTCACAAGCGTGTGTTTTGCAATGCGATGCCCTCTGTCACATTGTGTGGCCAGAGCACATTCAGGGGTGATTGATTCACGCATTCCCCTCTCCAATTCAGTAGGTGACCAATCAAGGCAAGCGACCTATCTACTTTTTATTTTATTATTTATTATTATTTGTAATTTCTTTCAATATGTGTCAATTATTTCTGGGACCATGGATAAATACTGTGAAGTGATTTGATAGGACACAATTGGACACCATCGTGATCCAGTGCTCATGCAATAGGTACAAAAGAGAGTCACTGAAAGAAAACAGTTGTTCATGGGTCAATAAAAGCCACAGAATCTAAGAAAGGACATCTTTAGCTTTGAATTCAAGTACATCTCTGTGTGAAAACTTTACACTGTGTGGTCGCTAAGAGCATGAAAATATTATGTTATGGTTGCAGTGGAAATTAATGTATGTTTTGTAAGAAGATGTCGCTAGAGGGCAATTCTGCATAAACAGATTAATTACATTTGTATGAACAGCTACTTTTCCAATATGATAGTTTTAATTGTAACAAGTGTATAATAAACTACATTATATGAGTGGTTA